AAACTGAAGTACTGAATTACCATTAGATCCTTGATCATCTTCTTCTTGCAGTCCGCAATCTTAGGATTGGTTGGACCCAGTCCTCCACCCTTTCCTATCCTGCATTAATATTTTCATTTCTACATAACTGCCCTTGCCTACATCTTTAACTATTTGGTCTGTGTATCTAAGCCTCTGTCGTACTACACATTTCTTGCCCTCTGATCGACCATCTATAGCTGTACTAATCGTGCCCTATCATTTTACCTCGTCCTCTGTACGATTTTCCACATTTCCCTCTTTTCCTGTACTAGCTCCAAGACTGCTCCGCTTGTTTCACCATCCATCCAGCTAATCCTCACTATCCTTCTATAAGACCACATTTCGAATGCTTCTATCCTACTTTTGTCTTCCCTGCGTATCGTCCATGTTTCGCACCCGTATAGGAGCTACACTCCATATGTACGCTTTTATCAGCCTTTTCCTAATCCCTATATTTATCCCGGATCTTAGCATGTCCCGCTTTTGTTCAAATGCTTTTTTAGCCTGCGCTATCCTAGATCTTATCTTACCTTGTTTTTTAATTTTTTATATTTATCCCTACCATGCTGACTTGAAGCTTTTTTATATTTTCTCCTTTCGACCATTAGTTCTAAAATTTCCTCTGTGACCCATTCATTTCTCTTCCTAAACCGTACGGTCCCACGATGTTGTCTTTCCTATCTTCTCTTCGCAAAGGATTTAAGGGGAAAGTTGAAAGAAATAGAGAGCGGACACTTAAAAATGAACAAAGAATTTAGGGGAATAGCAGGAATTGAGAGTGAGACCAATTTAATACAGAGCGCAACCTGAGAATTCCAGTACACTTACGAAAAAAGCTTCAAAAGAACGTAAGAGTAACTTGGTTTCTGGTTTTAGCCCTAATTTTTAACTGTACTGGGGGTTCACTTGCACAAATATTGATTTCTGTTCTGCTAACTGTATGATTTTTGGTTTTCCAGATTCACTCTTGCTTATTAACAGTTTTCTATTATTTTTGTAATGATCCTAAACGTTTACAATAATAAGAAGCATAGCTCATTAAAATTGCTAAGTAGCTAAACTGAATTCTAGCAATCACAGCTCTTAAATTCTCTATGTCTTGCAACAAATAAAACCTGGAACATTTGCTTTTCTTCTCATAAATGCTCTTTATTTCTAAATAATCTCCAATGGGGTTTTATTTCCTTTTTGTATCCTGCTACCATTACTACCTTCTTCTTGTTCCTTATTCATCTTCACTCGCAGCCAATGGGTTTAATACAAATTGTAACAGAAATTTCACCCATTTGGCCTTTGCTAGAAAAAGACGCATTATACAGGGTGTTACCTGGCCGCATGTAAAAATGTATAAACAACTCTTAAACTGTCCTTGAATAATAAATTTCCGTATGCTTTAAGCTTGCCAAGTATTTTAAGTAATTCACACTATAACTTAGAAAATACTTAGAATGCGGGGGTTGCAATTTTCGTAATACAGTGAACATTTTTATTTCGTTGATAGATTATGTTTAAATATTGTATAAACAACCCTTAAACTGCCCTTTAATAATAAATTTCCGTGTGCTTTGAACTTGCCAAATATTTTAAGTAATTCACACTATAACTTTTAGAATACTTAGAATGCGGGGGTTGTAATTTTCGTAATACAGTGAACATTTTTATTTAGTGGATAAATTATGTTTAAATAAAGTATAAACAACCCTTAAACTGCCCTTCAATAATAAATTTCCGTATGCTTTAAGCTTGCCAAATATTTTAAGTAATTCACACTATAACTTATAGAATACTTAGAATGCGGGGGTTGTAATTTTCGTAATACAGTGAACATTTTTATTTCGTTGATAGATTATGTTTAAATAATGTATAAACAACCCTTAAACTGCCCTTCAATAATAAATTTCCGTATGCTTTAAGCTTGCCAAATATTTTAAGTAATTCACACTATAACTTTTAGAATACTTAGAATGCGGGGGTTGTAATTTTCGTAATACAGTGAACATTTATATTTCGTTGATAGATTATGTTTAAATATTGTATAAATAACCCTTAAACTGCCCTTTAATAATAAATTTCCGTATGCTTTAAACTTGCCAAATATTTTAAGTAATTCACACTATAACTTATAGCATACTTAGAGTGCGGGGGTGGTAACTTTCGTAATACAGTGAACATTTTCATTTCGCTGATAGATTATGTTTAAATAATGTATAAACAACCCTTAAACTGCCCTTGAATAATAAATTTCCGTATGATTTAACCTTGCCAGGTATTTTAAGTAATTCAAACTATAACTTACAGCATACTTAGAGTGCGGGGGTAGTAACTTTCGTAATACAGTGGACATTTTTATTTCGCTGATAGATTATGTTTAAATAATGTAAAAACAACCCTTAAACTGCCCTTGAATAATAAATTTCCGAATGCTTTAAGCTTGCCAAATATTTTAAGTAATTCAAACTATAACTTACAGCATACTTAGACTGCGGGGGTAGTAACTTTCTTAATACAGTGAACATTTTTATTTCGTTGATAGATTATGTTTAAATAATGTATAAACAACCCTTAAACTGCCCTTCAATAATAAATTTCCGTATGCTTTAAGCTTGCCAAATATTTTAAGTAATTCACACTATAACTTATAGAATACTTAGAATGCGGGGGTTGTAATTTTCGTCATACAGTGAACATTTTTATTTCGTGATAGATTATGTTTAAATAATGTATAAACAACCCTTAAACTGCCCTTCAATAATAAATTTCCGTATGCTTTAAGCTTGCCAAATATTTTAAGTAATTCAAACTATAACTTACAGCATACTTAGAGTGCGGGGGTAGTAACTTTCGTAATACAGTGAACATTTTTATTTCGCTGATAGATTATGTTTAAATAATGTAAAAACAACCCTTAAACTGCCTTTGAATAATAAATTTCCGTATTCTTTAGGCTTGCTCAATTTTTTAAGTTATTCAAACTAAAGCTTACAGTATACATAGAGTGCGGGGGTTGTAACTTTCGTAATACAGTGAATATTATTATTTTTATGATAGATTATGTTTAAATAATGTATAAACAACCCTTAAACTGCCCTTGAATAATAATTTTCTGTATGCTTTAGGCTTGCCAAGTATTTTAAGTAATTCAAACTATAACTTACAGCATACTTAGAGTGCGGGGGTTGTATCTTTCGTAATACAGTGAACATTATTATGTCGTTGATGGATTATGTTTAAATAATGTATAAACAACCCTTAAACTGCCTTTGAATAATAAATTTCCGAACGCTTTAAGCTTGCCAAATATTTTAAGTAATTCAAACTATAACTTACAGCATACTTAGAGTGCGGGGGTGGTAACTCTCGTAATACAGTGAACATTTTTATTTCGCTGATAGATTATGTTTAAAAATGTATAAACAACCCTTAAACTGCCTTGGAATAATAAATTTCCGTATGCTTTAAGCTTGCCAAATATTTTAAGTAATTCAAGCTATAACTTACAGCATACTTAGAGTGCGGAGGTGGGAACTTTCGTAATAAATACAGTGAACATTTTTATTTCGTTGATAGATTATGTTTAAATAATGTAAAAACAACCCTTAAACTGCCCTTGAATAGTAAATTTCCGAATGCTTTAGGCTTGCTCAATTTATAAGTTACTAAAACTATCTCTTACAGGTGTGGGAGTATTTTGCCGTCAGAACTATAGGCGGCTATAAGAGGTATGAAGGATGGTGGGGTTGCTGGGATATACGAGATACTGGTAGAACTGTTTAGAAGAGGATTCAGAGGAAGAACGAATGAGGATACTGAGGGATTTGTGTGATGAGATTTACAAGAACAATTTTGAAAGAAAATTCAAAGGGCTGTAACTTTTGAACTAGTAGCTCAATCTTGGAACTGTTTAAAATTATGGATTCTACAGGCCACATTCTATAAGAAAATCTTTTTCCTGGTCGATCTGGGACAATTTTTTTTTCGGGGCTCAAAAAAAGACCTTCCTTTTTTACCAAAAATCGGCTGCACCAAAATTTCTCGGGAAAACACTTTTTCTTATTAATTTTGGGACGTAGAATCCATAACAATTCGTACTTTTTCGATCAGACTTCTCAATCAAAAGTTATAGACTAGAAACCAATTTCGAAAGAAAATTCAAAGGGCTGTAACTTTTGAACTAGTAGCTCAATCTTGGAACTGTTTAAAATTATGGATTCTACAGGCCACATTCTATAAGAAAATCTTATTCCCGGTCGATCTGGGACAATTTTTTTTCGGGCCTCAAAAAAAGACAGTGTATAACCTTCCGGGAGTGAAGACTTTCGTAGAAACGTTATAATATCGCTTCAGAAAAAGAAGGGAACATAGAAATGCGAGGAACACAGAACCATCAGTGTTATAGCTGTTGCGGGTGTTGGATAGAAGGTTGAGGGGGTAGTGGGAGAAGACCAATTTGGATTGCGAAGGGGTTTGGGAACCAAGGATTTCAGCAATTTTTAGACAAAGCAAGGTTGGCACTACAGGCGGGTAATAAGATGATGACTGAATGTCTGGATTAGAAAAAGAAGATACGCAGGGATGTTGTTTTCACCAACTTTTTTAATATCTATATGGAGAAATGCTGGGAAAGGAATAAGGGAGAAAAAATAGGTGGAAGAAATGTAAGTTCGGTCAGGTTTGCTGATGATTATGATCATATTTGCTGAAAAGGCGAGGGAATTGGATGAAATGGAAGACACGTTTGGATTGAGATTTAACCACACCAAGTCGAAGGTAATGGCAGTTGAAGCAGAGTAAGTAATGGATGTAAGGGAAGAGAAATTGGAACACGTAAAAACAATAAATCCCCAGACACAGTAATATCAGACGATTGGTTGAGTGAAAAGGAGTTACTGATAAGAATTGGAATGGCCAAGGAATAAGTGAGTGGTGCTTAACAGTAATTGGGTTTAGAAATGAGAAAAAGACTGGTGAAATGTATAGATTTACATTTTTAACGACACATTACTCACCATTCCTGAAGGATTCACATAGTTCTGTATATGGAGAAGGGTAGACCACCAGTAACGTTCACATCGATCAATCTCTACCCTAATCCACCGATTAGGATCTGGACCATGTATCACTTGCTCCATGAGGAGAGTGGAGAATAACACAATTATGACTAGACACGGCGTTAATCTAAAACTCGACGCATTCAATTCGACGTCTTCTTGTCACGTAGAATCAAACCGTAATATTCTGTGCAAGTAGAAATTGCGAATGTTGAATTTTAAACCCTTCCTTGCGTCTGAAATAATACCATACGATATAAGCGCACCTGATATAAACAAAAATGTGTCTACATTCGACAGTGCCAGAACAAGAGGTACACCTTGAATCCCTCTCGCCTCCTGCAATCACATCATAAGATCAATCACTATCTACCATCACTCTAACCTGCGAAACTTGAAGTGAATTACTTGTAGGAAATCGATAACTGAAAAAGTAGACATGTCCCCATACAATCATTGCCGTACTGATTGCTTTAATGCCATCCAAACAATGAATTCTTTTGCCACTATAACTTACTTGAAAAATTCTCTTTGCATTATTCAAAGTGGAAAACGACATTACTATAGAGTTCGACGAAGCTGAAAAACGTACTCTTAGCGCAATCCTTTACCCAAAATCATCTGCTTACGTTTCCCATTATAACGTTGGACACAATCAATTGCCGTTGACACTATGGTTAGAAAAATGCAAGCTCCAAGAAAGAATCTAAATCATACGTTATTGCAAGTTTATTTCATCAGTAACATAAGAGTCTATGTCAGTACGTACAGTAAAGCTTTTCCTTTGTAGTCAAGAGGAGGTTTTGTGTACTGAGTCTTACATGCTCCCTCCTTAACTAGGGGATCCATCTTCATTGCTCGAAGCAAATTCTCTACGTCTTTCTCCGAGCAAGCGTCTGGAACGCAAACGGCCAAAGATGGTGTGGGAGCATTAAAAGTTTTATAAGATTTTAGAACGAAATCAAGCTCAAGTCCGTCCTATGTAAAATTAAAGATTATAACTAAAGAGCAATATGATGTGACTTACCGGGGCCGTTTGGGAGTTGATCTTCACCTCGACGCGACAGTATTTTCCGTTAACTACTCCAAGACGCGTGTGGGCATTGATATTGATGCATTCATCGTATGATCCAAAATTAACCAGGTTACCTTTGAGTATACCCGACTGTACACCAGAAGACGCATCCAACACTAAGGAAGTTATGATCTTACAAATGGTACAATTTTGGTTTAGTTTTTTTAGTAGGGTAGCTTTGTGCTCTTTCCTGCAATCAATAAATTGATGGCATTTTATGTGTTACGGATTATAACACTAGTTAGTGACTATCAGTTTTTTTTGGATGCAGACACTTGCTCCCATGGAAACCTTCCCATAGAGTTAACGGTAACATGAGAAACCGGATCTGAGTAGACACGCTTATCGTAACGTATCCTTTATGATTTTCGAAATAAAACAATTAGGGGGAGGATTAGATAGCCAGTTATCTTATTGACATGCTGCCTGAGCGAATTACCTTGGTCTCTTTTTTAATGACACCCGCATGACCCACATTTTTGTACCGATACAATAATTGAGATGCTTATAGATATGGTTTCACAAAGAATGATGGGAGATGTAGTACTCACTCTCTAGTGCCCATATTTCCTTCTCTAACACAGCTGTCGAAAACAACTGCAAATAGTTAGAACATTTTTCAGATACAGGATATGATCTTGTTGTATTGGGGTCTTCACTACTGAAAAGCAACTTTCTTATATTAATGCTTCCATCCAAAATAGATTGGATTTGGCCATAATTATCTCTTGGAAAGAGAAACAAAGTCACAAATATCATATAGCTAAACGGGTACATGGTTAAAGGTGGATTACAAACTGACACCGTACATTTACACTAAGCGGTTATGAGTATCGTGTAACGAAACCACACGTAAGCCGGTTTAATTTAAGATTTAGGATTTACACGTTAGGACATGTGGCAATTTGCGTCAGTGGCGTTTATGGTAGGATTTAAGTTTATCATTAAAACGTGTCAACTAGAAAAAAAGGCATCCAGCGGTCCCAGGACGCTTGAAATCTAAAAACCTCCGAAGAAATCACATTTTTTTTACCTAGTATAAAACCGTCAATATATTTGACAGGCCGTTTGAGGGCATAATGAAATGACAATCCATTATGCCCTCGGGCGTCATAGGCTGCTTTGTATATCTCATATAACAGATATAATTAGCATATAATAGGCAAATGAAAAATAAACAACGTTGTGTGCAATGAATACAATTCAAGTTCACTCGGCGAGTGGATTATGAAACATCGTGCACTTAGGAGTTCGCCTCATTCTGCTATGATCTAGAGTTTAGCTTCAATAAACGAATTTCCATTTTCAAATCAAAAACAAAAGGTGACCCAGTTGAACCGTTCGAAGGGTAGATTTAGACGCCATATATCAACGTAAATTTGGAGGGAATAGCCATTCTGATGGTAGCCATGTTACCGAGTTTATTGTATTTCTATGTTTCTGGGTGTTGCGTGGAAATAATTTTTCCAGAAGAACAAAAATAAAGATCAACAATTAAACTTTGATTAATAATCGCAGGCTGCAATCCCATGCGGCCACCGTTACACTGATTCCATATAGTAAGCTCCGCACGTGGTGACTAGTATAAAGGCAGATAAAAAGAATTGTACAAGTACGTACAAAGTGTATAGGAAGAATCTACGATCAAACTAAAAGTATACATATATTGAAAGAGTAGAATAAAATTACAGTTTTTTGCGAATGATCTGTTCATGTTAATGTTAAAAAACTACGTCTACACCCTTGTTTGTCAAATTACGGATCCATTGTGCGCCAGATGATGCCTCCATCAAGTAATTTGCATGGGTAGGGAGGGCTCCACTGCCAACCAAAAGTGTAGGTATGTATGCAAGTAAAATGGATTGAACTATATTCTGCCGTTTGACCCATTTTCAGGTTTTGTTTCTAAAAAACGGTTGTTATGAAGTTTTCCTTTACATAAGGTTTACTTTTTCGGCTTGCAACCAGGCGTGTGCTTAGCTCCTGAATTGGTAACTCAATTGCCAACGTCAAAATTATCGCTGCAAACAAGCTATACATGTACAAACCAAAAAATGCCTGAAACTAAGATTACTTTATTAATGCCACAATCGAATGCCATAATTAGTTATACCCACCATGAACTTGGAGTTTATAGAAAGTGGAACTCTCATGTCGCCATATATAATTACACCTGTCAAAACATGCGTCATATACAAAGAAAACATCATCTTCGACATTATGTTGAATACGTGCATGGAAAGTATGCTGTTAATTATACCTAAGGCAAAACAGAGATCAGTGTAAAAGTTTTGTAATAATGTAAAGGACCGAAATGCTACACCATCTTTCTTAATTTCTAAGGAAAGCTGTTCTTTCTCTAGGTCACATTACCTCCAAATCCAAAATGGCAACTAAATATCACCCAACACATCGCCAACGCCCATGCGGGGCGTCGAAAGGAATTGTAAAATAAGTTATTTATCCGCTCATGCGAAGCAAAGTTTTCATCAGACCCTACAAAAACGCATACACCGAATACCACCAGTGCTAGCATCCATGTTATTAGCGCAGCCCTCTAGAAATACGCAATTAGTATATGTGCTTCGCATATTCGTTGTCATTACATAATCAATATTGGGAGGACCTTTTTCTTTAGAATATTTACTCATAATATACCCCAATATAAAACCTAGAAGCCAAGGCGATGCTCTAGCATGAGTTGCAGTATAGTAGAACTTCATGGCGGGGGATCTGAAAATAAAAAGCTTCATTGATTTCATAACTCGTTCGAACCTCTTGCGCGGCATTCGGCCGTTATTGAAAATAAACATTATTCGCTTGGTAAACCAGGCAAATCAAGGTTCGCATCTTTCCAAACCCATTGATCTCATTTAAATCCGGTCTTGCGATAAGACGTTTGTGATCGCTCCGCGGAAGCTAATTAATTTGAAGATAAGCCGAAGTAAGCACAGGTGTTAGTTTATCGAAGACGCATATTGAAGTTAGACGTGAAGGGGAGCCGGTCGTGAATTTGTGTAGCTAATAGGCATAGCAAACGAAATTGTTAGCATTTTGGGTGCAAGACAGTCAGTCTGGGTGGTTGTAAAGTTGTAGCTGGACAGGTGTTAATGTGGGTGGTTTAGTGTCCATTTGCCACTCTACAAATACTATGTACCCCTAAATTCCACCATTAGCAAAATGCACTAGAAAAACATTCAATCAGAGAGATACCATTTTTTAAGTGGTCATATCATGAAGTCATACTTACGGATACACTCCCGTCCTCTGAATGTCAAAGACCCAGCTTGTTATGGAACAACTGGCGATGCTTAAAAGGATCAACGCCGTTAAAGCAAGTAACGCAATCCTTGGCCATTTTCTTAATCCTAAGAGCAGAACAGGTGCGATTAGGAACAATTGCATATCAACTGCAAGATACCATGCTTCTGGAATGCACTGAAATTGATGTCATAATAACCTGAAATAAGATTAGCGTGCTTACCAAGTTAAATAGGTCATCGTAGTTTTGGATGTATAAAAGATTTTGCCACCAAGACTGTTTGCACATCTTTGTAGTCTCCTGTATGAGATCGGGCCATATTGGACCAGTATTAAAGTACTTCAGTAAGCAGACGTAGAAAAGCAAAATGGTCGCGAAAGATGGGGTTAGCCTAACGCATGGCATTTAGTACAATTAAACAATTTAGCGATAGTGATACCTAGTATAGTGGAGGAAATAATGGCGAAATACTTTTTTAATGGTGTTCAGTTTGTTTTTTGTTCCCGTCATAAAGTTATAGGAAATTAAGGAACCAGACAAGACCAGGAATGTGTCAACGTTAACGCTGGAACCCGTCACGTAACTACCTCGTATAGTTGTCCAGATCTAAAAGATGAACCGATCACAAATGAGTGTATTGCACTCTGTCGTACTTCCTCAACGTAATCATTATTGGTTTTCGGAAACGACGTCACCCACAGATGGAAGTGACTGTAAACAGTCCATGTCATGGCTAATACTCGAATACCATTCACACATGTAACATTCTTCGTGCTATCTGTAACTGTAAATAACTTTTTTCCATTTTTAAGAATGGAATATGATAGTAACCATGTTCTGTTCGTTCCTATATGTGGGTATTAAGTTAACTATTGCCACTTTAACTACCTTACCTATCGTGTAATAACGCAAATAGCAATCATATGCTGTTGATCCTACTATTAACAGCCCAAAAAGTCCAAACAGAACTCTACAATTGCATTAAATGAAAGTACTTACTTCAAAATGTGCCCTTACATCGTGATAATTGCTTTGTAGTCCAATTTCGGCGCATCTTCCAACGTTTGGCAAGTCGAAGTAACAGTCAAAGAGGTGTTTAGATGCGGTAGCTTTTCAATATCTTTTTTGGAACATGAATTTGGGATGCATATGGCGAAACCAAGCGCCTGAAACAATTCAAGAATGAGTTCTACGCATAAAACCTACGCTAGAAAATCCTTATTAGCACCATTGACGATCGAACCCTCGGATTAGCACAATGACGTGAGTGTTTTCAGAATACGCCTATTGCAGGGCATGTCGCAAAAAGCGACTTATCAACGGTTGATTAAATAGCAGACGTTTCGGGTGTAGGGCGGTTTGTGGCTATTAGTCTAAATTTTTGAACTGCAAGATTGTTTGTGGTAAGAAGGCGTATCAAACGTTAGACATTGCTATCACATTATTTATGTGCCGCACTATTCACTATCCCACTTGTTTTTTTGTTTATGTTTTTATCTGTTACAGACAGAGCTGGGCAGTGTTCGATTTTGTAAATACTTTTTAGTATTCAAATCCTTTAAAGTATTCAAATACTTTGTAATTAAATACTTTTATGGAAGCAGTATTTGTATTTTTAACTCAAATACTTTCACAAATATTTAGTATTCGAATACTTCGCAAGGTATTTGAATACTTTGAGAAGTATTTGAATACTTCGCATAGTATTTTAATACTTAACCTTCCTTTTTTACCAAAAATCGACTACTCTAAAATTTCTCGGGAAAACATTTTTTCTTATTAATTTTGGTGCGTAGAATCCAAAACTATTCGTACTTTTTCGATCAGACTTCTCAATCAAAAGTTATAGACTAGAAACCAATGTCACAAAAAATTCAAAGGGCTGTAACTTTTGAACTAGTAGTCCAATCTTGGAACTGTTTGAAATTATGCATTCTACAGGCGACATTCTATAAGAAATTTTTTTTCCGGGTCGATCTGAGACAATTTTTTCTTCGGGCCTCAAAAAAAGGCATTGTATAACCTTCCCTTTTTACCAAAAAACGACTGCACCAAAATTTCTCGGGAAAACACTTTTTCTTATTAATTTTGGTGCGTAGAATCCAAAACTATTCGTACTTTCTCAATACCTCTCAATAAAAGGTTATAGACTAGAAACCAATGTCGAAAAAAAATTCAAAGGGCTGTAACTTTTGAACTAGTGGTCCAATCTTGGAACTGTTTGAATTTATGGATTCTACAGGTCACATTCCATAAGAAAATTTTTAGCTTCCTAGCATGTGCTAGGTAGCTAAATTGCGATAGCCGTTTTTTGAACATTTCAAAATTTCATCAAATGTCGACGTTTTAGACCATTTTAAGCAACTTTTAAAGAATAAAATTTTTTTCCGTCTGTACGTACGTACGTACGTACGTTTGTTGGCAATTTTCTGAGAAAACGGCTCGACGGATTTTGTTGAAATTTTGTATATATGTTTTAGGCATACCGAACAGAAAAATAACGGGCCGGATTTTTGAAAAATTTTGGAGCGCCGTAACGGCATCGAACTTTTTTTTTCAAATAGCAACCTAAAATTTTTATTCTATTATTTGGAAGACCTTATTTTCCTGTGTACAACCTACAAAAAATTGGGCCGGGTTATATTATCAAAAAACGGAGAAAAAAATTGTCAAAGTCAAAAAATTGTGTTGCATATGTGCAAAACGCAACGATCTTGTTTCTGAAGCAATTTAAACGAAATTTCTATGGTAAGTCCCTTTAATAAAAGCAAACAAAATTCATGCGCAAAAATCGTGTTGCGCATGCGCAGAAATGCAATTTTCTTATTTATGGAACAATTAAAACGAAATTTGGATGGTAGGTCCTCCTAATAAAAGAAAACAAAATGCATGCGCAAAAAATAGTGTTGCGCATGTGCAACATCCAACTTTCTTATTTATGGAGCAATTTTAACGAAATTTGGATGGTAGGTCCCTCTAATAAAAGCAAACAAAATGCATGCGTAAAAATTGACGTTTTAGACCATTTTAAGCAACTTTTAAAGAATAAATTTTTCCCGTCTGTAAGTGCGTACATATGTTGGCAATTTTTGGTTTCAGCTAGGAAGCTATTCTGTCAAGAATTTGACACCTGGTTTTTCCGGGTCGATCTGAGACAATTTTTTCTTCGAGCCTCAAAAAAAGCCAGTGTATAACCTTCCTTTTTTACCAAAAATCGACTGCACCAAAATTTCTCGGGAAAACACTTTTTCTTATTAATTTTGGTGCGTAGAATCCAAAACAATTCGTACTTTTTCGATCAGACTTCTCAATCAAAAGTTATAGACTAGAAACCAATTTCGAAAAAAAATTCAAAAGGCTGTAACTTTTGAACTAGTAGCCCAATCTTGGAACTGTTTGAAATTATGGATTCTACGGGCCACATTCTATAAGAAAATTTTTTTCCGGGTCGATCTGAGACAATTTTTTTTTCGGGCCTCAAAAAAAGGCAGTACTTTTAAGTTATTCAAATATTTGAGAACAATTTAGAAATGTTTAGGGAAAGTTTCCATTGTCACAAAATCAAATATAAAAATCCGATACAACTGAATACCGAACGATCCTGGAGTGAAACTTTTTGACTCGATAGTCTACGTAACTTAAAAACAATAGGGGCTTTTCTTATATCCTTAAGACCATGTGTACCAATTTTCAAAGCGATCGCACGTTTCTAAACAAACTATCATGCACACGGACAAAAGGATGGTCAAAAATGGATCTGTTCCAAAATCGCTAGGATTAATGTCAGAAAGGCGTACGTATCATGTGCACGACGTACGATCGCTTTGAAAACTGGTACACATATTCTTAAGGATATAACTGGTATAAGAAAGGTCCTGGTAGGTACCTCCTATATAATAATGTAATAATAATATTACGCTTTTACTCCCCTTAAATTTGTCTATAACAATAGAAATATAAAAAAAGCTAACCCCATACAAAGTATAACTTGATTTTTTAAGTAGTATTAAGACTTTTATCTTGTATACTATTTTAAATTTTTAATGTATTTGAGTGACCAGTATTTGAATACTTTTTACTGTATTCGAATACTTTTCAAGGTATTCGAATACTTTTTATAGTATTCGAATACCTTTGATAGTATCAGAATACTTTTGGAAGTATTCGAATACTTATGAAAGTATTCGAATGCATTCTAAAGTATTTGAATACTTTTCAATGTATCTGTATCTAGTATTCGCTTGTGCTGGACGTAAAAGTATTTAGTATTCAAATACCTTTGATTTGTGTAAAGTATTTACTATTTAGTATTCAAATACTTTTTGAAAGTATTCTGCCCAGCTCTGGTTACAGATAAGGCAGAAAAGCGCTCTTTTGCCGCTACCACCAGAGTTCAAAGGTAATATTTTTATTTTCGACGACCCATTGATATAACGATGGATTATATATCGGTTTTCGATACAATCGAATAGTTAGTTTACCATTAAATCTCCATTGTTTTCTGCTAAAGCCTGTTTGATTTGGATAATATTCCTGACTACGAGTTGATCCCTTTTTTTTTGCAAAAAATGAAGTTAATTTGAACGTTGGCGTTTCAGATGTGTACATTACAGTTTCCTATCTGTAATATTTTGAGACCATTTTTTTAACTCGCGATCGTAACAACAATTATTGGCTAAGTTCTACGCTGTCAATTATATTATTTCTTCAGCTTACCAACACCAGAACAGGGATCTTTTAGTCGGCCTTGTCCCCACTTTCGGTAAGTATTTTTTACTTCGTTTTGGCTAGTGTAAGAGAACCCCGTTATTCACCACGACCCACCTCTACTTTGCCTTATCTAAATGTAATTTTGCTACATTTCATCAAAGTGAACGTAACACATTAATGAAGAAAATGGAATGAATCCAAGAGGTGAATAAGTGTAGCATACATACCATACTGCTTTCTAAGTGTCTAGCCCTGACCAAGCAGTATTTCCCTAGTAACTTTGTCGATTGAACCTCTGCGGTAATATTTAGGCATTCGTCGAATGAACCGAGACTATAAGCACCTCCATACAGTTTTCCTGGCGGCAACCTTCCGCTAGCGTCTAACACTAAAAAAGTATTTATTTAAGTCGGTATTATTATTAGCTAATAGTATTTAGAAATTGGTGTTGCTGATTGTCACCGTTTTGTTCTGATATTCCAAACAGGGAATTCGTGGAAATCGGAAATTTCGTAATCATATTGTGTATGAACAAGGAAAAAAGATGCTTGGGCCTATGGAGCACTCGCTAGAGAGTTTAATTGAACATGTATATGGTCGCGCCGAAAGATAAAAAAAAGCTGACGACAGCTGAAGTTACAATCTTCACACTATGAGAAAAACAAAGCAAAGTAACTTACTTTGAAGTGCCCAAA